ATTCATTACAATCCCACCAGCCCTCTGGGCGTAGGTGGTCTAGAACAGATCCTCTTCCACCCCTCCCTCTTCCCCCTTGGGGAGGGGTTTACCCCTCCCCCTACCCCCTCCCCTGGACCTGGACGGGGGGGGCCGCGGGTAGTTAGAGCGTCCAAGATGGCCCAAGAAGGCTCCAAGAGCGCCTCAGAGAACCCAAGATGAGCTCCAAGATGGCTCAAGATAGCGCAAGATCGCTCACGATGGCTCCTAAGATGGTTCCAAGAAGCCCAAAGACGGCCCCAAGATAACTCCAAGTGGCCAAACAGCACCCCAAGGAGGCCCCGAAGAGGACAAAATCGTCCCAAAACCTAAGGAAAATCAATGATTTTTGCTTTCTCGCCTTTTCGCTTCCGATGGCTATCCGAGGCCTGGAGATGGCTCCAAGATGGCCCAAGAGGGCCCCAAGAGAGCCCCAAAAGAGCCCCAAGACGGCCCCAAGAGCGCCCAAGAGCACTCCAAGAGCGTTCCAAGAGGGGTCCAAGAGGCGAATTTAGGGGCTTCCGAGGGGGGACGCTAATTAAACCCCCCCTCTTGTTTGATCGACTCCCTCCAAGATGGCCCCAAAAGCGCCCCGAAGGCTCCCCAGAGCGCCTCAAGAGGGTCCCAAGAGGCGCCCAAGATGCCCCAAGGCGCCCAAAAAGCCCTCCAAGAGGCCCTCAAAAGACCCCCAAGAAGCTCCTTCCCCTCCTCCTCCTCCTCCTCCGATTCTTCCTCCTTCTCCGTCCTCCTCCTCCTCCTCCTCCTCCTCCTCTTCCCCCTCCTCCTCCTCCTCCGACGACGACGACGACGACGACGACGACTCCTCTTCCATCCTCCCCCTCTCGGGGTCTGTGACAGCTTCCCCCGCCCTTTGTTATTCTGCAGGCTCCCCGACTTCCCTGATCACCTCAACTCCCCTGAGCATCGTTTCTGGATGGGCTGGTGGGGATACGCGAAGCGTCAACAATTTCCATCCTAAGCCTCATCATCGTCATCATCACCCCGATCATGCCTACCAACATGTGTTCCTGCTTATGATGCTCCGTGCTCACCCTTGTACCCCTAACCTCCACCTCTACGCTTGTCTCAAGGTGACAGGCACAAGGAGCACTCGCGGGCATACAACATACGGGCCAACGCTCTGGCGGACAAGCGGACCAGAGGCCAGGTGGACCGTCCCCTTTCCCATTCATCCATCCCATCTCCCTCCCACTCTCTTAGTTTCTGCCGCCTCTCCTTCCTCCTGGCCTATTATTCCCTTGATCCTTCTCATCTGGATCCTCCTCTTCCCGATCCTCATCATCTTGGTCAGTATCGTCCTGATATTACTCCTTCTCGTCTTGATCCTCTTGTGCCTGATCCTCCTCATTATGATCCTCCTCATGCTCTGGATCCTGATCCTGATCCCACTCCTCCTGATCATCCTTCTCCTCAACCTGAACATTCTCATCCTCATCCTGACCTCGTGGTCCTCATTTTCCTGAATTTCTCGAAGCCTTCCTCCTCCTCCGACTCCTTCCCCTCCTCCTCATCCGTCATATTCTCCTCATCTGCCTATACTTCTCCTCCTGCTGGACTGGTGAGCAAGTGAACCGATGGACGGGTAGACCGTAGACTGGTGAACAGGGGACCTATCATCATCAGCATCATCATCATCACCACCACCACAACTATCATCATCATCATCATCATCATCATCATCATCATCATCATCATCATCATCATCAGCACCATCACCATCACCATCACAGTCGTCATCATCATCAGCATCATCATGAACATCATCATCATCATCATCATCAGCATCAGCATCATCACCATCACCATCACCATCACCATACTAATCATCATCAACGTCAGCATCATCAGCATCAACATCATCATCACCAGCACCATCACACTCACCATCAGTATCATCAGCATCAATAACAGCATCATCGTCACCATCATCATCACCATTCCCATCCCCTATCCCCATCAGCATCGGCAGTATCATCAGCATCATCACCAACATGATTACCATCGTCATAATCGTTGTCACCACCATCATCATCACCATCAAAAACCCCATCCTCATCCCCATGCCCATCATCATCAGCATCAAAATAAACATCATCACCACCACCATCCTCATCATCATCATCATCATCGTCATCATCATCATCATTATTGTCATCATGATCACCAGGACAGCATCATCATCAGCATCAGTATCAGCATCAGCATCAGAAGCATCATCATCATCATCAGCATCACCATCATCATCATCATCACCATCATCGTCGTCATCATCAGCATCATTCTCATCATCGCCATAATCAACATCATCATCACCATTCTCATCATCGCCATCATCGTCATCGTCGTCATGGTCATGGTCATGGTCATCGTCTGCGGTATCGTTATCACCTTCAACACCGCGACCAATTGACCGACTGACCAACAAACTGGCTGACCGGCTGACTGGTTGACTGGCTGACTGGTTGACCGGCTGACTGGTTGACCGCATGACCGGCCGGTTTACCAAGGACCAACTGACCGGCTGACTGGCTGACCGGCTGATCGGCTGACCCGTTGACTGGCTGACCGGCTGACTGACTGACAAGCTAACCGGCTGACCGGCTGACCGGGGAGCCGCTGACCGCCTGACCAATATGAACCCGATGTGTTAAAACAAGACGGTCTCAGCCAGAAATCCCACCAGCCCTTTGGGCGACAGGTGGTCTAAGGGTGATCTCTTTTTCTTCCACAACCCCTCAATTTGTGGCACCCCTCTGGCCCCCGAGGGGGTGGGCAGACATCGAGGACTCCCTCTCTTTTGACCGACCGGCTTAAAGATGCACCAAGAGGCACTCCAGGGCTCCGAAGATGTCCCCAAGAGAGCTCCAAGAGCGCCCCAAGAAGCTCCAAGAGGTCACACCAAAGAGGCCTGCGAGCGGCCTCAGAGAGCCCAAGATAACCTCCAAGATGGCCCAAGATAGCCCAAGCTGGCTCAAGAATGCTCCCAAGATGCTCCAAGAGGCCCCAAGACCGCTCCAAGACGGCTCCAAGATGGCCGAGGAGGCCGCCGAGAATCCAAAATACTTCAAAACCCGAGGTACGCAAGACGCCGTCTCGTCCTCGTCCTCCTCCTCGTCCTCCTCGTCCTCCTCCTCGTCCTCCTCGTCCTCCTCCTCGTCCTCCTCGTCATCGTCCTCGTCCGCCTCCTCGTCCTTATCCTTGTCGACCTCCTCGCCCTACTCCTAATTCAAATGATTATCCTCCTAAATACTCCCCCTCCTCCTCCTCCTCCTCCTCCTCCTCCTCCTCCTCCTTCTCCTCGACCTCTCGTTTTCTTCCATATCCTTCGTCCTCGTCCTCGCAAGTTTCCTCCTCCTCCTCCTCCTCCTCCTCCTCCTCACTCTCTTAGTCCTCGTCCTCCTCATCCACGTTTTCCTTCTCCTCGTCTTGCTCCTCTTGCCTCCTCCTCCCTTCTCCTCCTCCTCCTCCTTCACCTCCACTTATTCGCCCCCGCCCCCCCACGCGGGCCTGGAGATGGCCCGAACACGCCGTCCAGGCCGGCCTCCCTGACTGTTTTACTATGCGTGTCTCTTCCTCTCTCAAACCGTCAGCTCTCATGGGCATCGTTTCTGAATGGGCTGGTGGGGAGCGCGCGAAGTGTCAAGAATGCTGCTCAAATGACCCTTTGACCAGTTGACTGGTTAACTGGCTGACCGGCTGACCGGCTGACTGGCTGGCCAACTCACTGGCTGACTGGCTGACCGACTGATCGGCTGACCGGCTGACCAGCTGACTGGCTGACCGACTGACCGGCTGACCGGTTGACTGGCTGACCAGCTGACCAGCTGAACGGCTGACCGGCTGACCGGATGACTGGCTGACCGATTGACCAACTGACTGGTTCACCGGCTGTTCGGCTGACTGGATGCCTGGCTGACCTTGGGGAAGCCCCAAGATGCACCCAAAAGTCAAACGGCTTTCAAGATTCTCCCAAGACGCGCCGAACATGCCCCCCAGAGGCCTATCGAATGCGCTCCGAAGAGACTCCACCAAGTATCCCTGAGGACTCTGACCCACGTCAGCGTCGTCGTCGCCGCCGCCGCCGTCGTCCCCCTTCGGGATCGGCGGCACCGGCCGTGAGGCATTCGCAATACAATTAGAGATCCCGTACTGGGCAGGCGTAAGCAACAGAGAAGTGTAAACTCTGAGCATGCCCGCGGCCCAAAACTCCGAAGATTGATGCGGGCCCGATCGATCAGAGCGTGCCTTGAGCGCCTGGGCGCGCCAACGCCTCGGTCCGACTCTGACCTTTAGTAATGAACATGCGCATCGTGCTTGCAACACAAACCCAGGTCGGCCAGGGCCCAATAGCGATTCTTGTCGCTCATAAGTAGATGGATTCGGAAGAACGCGCCGCATCGTCGACGCATCATCAATGCATCGGTGGTGCATAGGCGGCGGCGGTGCACCGGCGCTGTCGGCGTGGGGAAAATCGGGCTCCACATCGAGCCGCATCGCCGATGCATCGCCGATGTGGCGCGATCCTCCGACCGCATCTGATCCGACCATCGGGAGGCCTAGAGCTCAGTATATCCCAAACCCACGTCAGCGAAGGCGGACATCGGGAATCGGCCCACGTGGCTCCCAAAACTGGGTCAGCCAGGGGACTGGCCGGCCCCCGTCAACGCCGACCCCCGTGACTGCAGCAGGGACCGACCGTCCCGGCATTCTTGTAAGCCTACCACGATATCCTCTTAGAAACAAATGATGTTTGAATAACAAAACAACTCTGTTAGACCATCGAGCCGATGTGTAAACAAGGTGGCCTCAGTCAAACCTGTTGTAAAATACATATCCTGCAAACCGCAGCCGATCCTGAGAACGCTCTGTGGCGGGCTTTGGGCAAGTCAGACCGCTTCGCTACTGACTGTTTGACGCGAGCCCCGGCCGGGGGCACCCGACCCAGTCGGGCGTTTCCGGGCCTCCACGGAGCGGTTCTTCGCGTATGCCCAGAGGGTGTTGGCGATCTCCTGGGGGCGGGGAGGAGCGGGCACCCGCGAAGGGCGAGGCGGAGGGAAGGGAAAAGGAGGCGGAGGTGGAGGCGGAGGAAGAGGAGGCGGAGGAGGAGGGGGAGAGGGGAGGACGAGAAAGGGAAGGGGGAGGAGGAGGATGAGGAGGGGCGAACGCATGAAAAGCGCCCCCCGCCCCCCTCATGAAAAACTTTAGACCGATGGGGCCGTCAAGCGACGCGCGAACTGCACGCGGAAACTGCCCGACAGTCAGCGAACGACAACGCCGCGCATTTCAGTGCGAAGCGCGCGCTGCCGCAATGCTCGTGGGCCTTTGAACTTGGCGGCCCCTTGCGCTGGTACGCGGTCAATGCCCATAATCATTGTGGACATTCGTGCGCCCGTGCCAGGGCAAAACCCACTTGGCGCGTCGGCCTTTGGCGGCGCTGGCAAGAGCTCCAGGCGGCGCCCAGGGCCCGCCCCGCACGGGCGCGCATCGAGAAGCTTAGATCCACGCCCCCAAAAAGTTCATGCTCAAGGCGAAACAGTTCATATAAACACGATATACAATAAATCTAAACTTCTCCGAAGCAGAAAGTCTCGCGCGGGAGAGCCCCGACTAATTTATAGAAACACAAATAGGTGCTTATACAAACGCAAGAAAACTTTATGTTGGACCAAAGAGAAACGTTCCCGATGTAAACTTCTCCGCCGGCTGGGTTATGAGGGGGCGACGGAAGCGGGCGCGGGAGCCCTCGGATGGGCCAGCGGCGCTGCCGTGCGAGGGACAGCGCCGCCGTCGCCTCAAACTGCATGCCGCGGACGTGGCACGCGGTGCCCTGGGAATGCAAGCGCGGGCGCGGCCGCGTCGAGCGGGCCCAGGACGTTCGCCGCGAGCGCGGGGCCCTCTTGCGGCAGCTGGCAATGGTCTCGCCGATAGGGCGCCTACACTTGCGCTCATTCGCCGTAAATGCAAAACGCTGACATGTGACATCCATAGTCGTGGGGGCGGGGGTCGGTTTCCCACTGTCCAAGGAGAAAGCGCAGGAAGAAGGAGGAATGAATGAGACGGAGGAGGAGGAGGAGGAAGGAGGCGTTTGCTCAACAACGGCTTCGCTGTGCTTTGTACCGGTTTGGCTGGTAGAGAACGAGGGGGGGAAGATGGAGGAGGGGAGGAGGAAGGGAAGGGGGAGGGATAAGAGGAGGAGGCAGGAGAGGCGAGGAAGGAGGAGGAGGAGAAGGCGAAAGAAGAGAGGAGCAGGGATAATTGAGGACGACGACGATAATGATGTTTTTGTTGATGATGCTGGATGCTGATGCTGCTGAGATTGACGATGCTGCAGACGATAATGATAATGGTAATGCTACTGATGATGATGATAATGATGATGATGATGATGATGATGATGATGATGATGATGATGATGCTGATGATACTGCTGATGATGATGATGATGATGATGATGATACTGCTGATGCTGATGAACATGACTATGATGATGATACTGATGGTGATAATGATGATGCTGATGATGACTATGAGATGATGAACATGCGGAGGAGGAGGAAAGGGAGGTGGAGGAGGAGGAGGAGGAGGAGGAGGAAAAGGAGGAGGAGGGGGGAGGGAGGGAGGGAGGGAGGCAGGGAGGGAGGCAGGGAGGGAGGGGAGAAGAGAGGAACAGGAGGGAAGGGCAAAAAAAAGGCAGGGGGGATGGCCATTCCGCTTCTTCACTGGCTGCCCATCCCTTCCACCTCGCTGTCGAACTCTCTCCACTCCCCTTCCTGCTCGTCATGGGGCCCCTTCCTGCTCGTCATGGGGCCCCTTTTCGTCGTGGGAGTGCTAGAATGCCAAGTGCTTCTGCGATGCTCTACATGTTCCCCCCCTCTTCTCATACTCCTCTCCCGAGAATTCCTGGGCGCATCGATGGCCCTCTGGCGCTCTCCAAGACGAGATGCCCAAATTGGCTTCAGAGACGGCCCAGGCAGGCCACCAAGACCGCTAGAGTGGCCCAAGATGCTTCCAAGACGGCCCAGTGTTGCCACAAGAGGCCCCCAAGACGCCTCCGAAAGGCTCCCAACAGAAGAGGGAAGAAGAGGAAAGGATGAAGACGACGACGACGAACACCAAGAGAGACACCTGGACACGACGTGGAAGAGCGTGCCATAGTCTACGGCTCGCCCAAGCCTCGTGATACGAGGTGTCACACGGTGCGGCTTTCGCGCTCTTCGAATCGGAGGAGAGAATGGTGGGCTGGCACGGTGGCAGGACTTGCCGCATGCAGCTGGGTAGCACGCATCCGTGGCAAACAGAAATCGGGTCATTGTTAGCGCCACGACTATCAGCCCATGGGAAAGCGAATTCCCTGAACCGCCCCAGGGACCACAAGACCGGTAAACTCGCCGTGGACGCGCACGCGTTCCCAATTCCCTTCCTGAACTCCTCCTTCTCCCCCTCCCCCACCCCCCCGTCGTGTCAACAAATGGCGGTGTTTTAGGCTCCCCTGAGGGTCAGCGGATTCGACGTCTCAACTCATGTGTTGTCCAGGCTTCATGTCGCCTCCTTCCCGAGATTGCAATAACTACACTCGAGGGGGGAAGGAGAGGCCACAGAGTGCAGTGTTGTTTGGCATAATGTTACCCGTCCCCCCGCGCGCGGGGCGGCGGGGGAACAAGGGGGAGGAGGGGGGAGAGGGCGAGTGACGAGGAGGGAGGGGGGAGGAGAAGGACCATCCTCCGTCCTCCTCCTCCTCCTCCTCCGCCTCCTTCTTCCTTCCTTCCTCATTCCCTCCCTCCCTCTCCCCATCGTCCCCGACTCCCGGCCAATAACTCCCTTCCTCCCCTGGATGGGCACTGCAAAGGTTGCCGTCGGTTCCCAGCTCCGGTTCTGTGGATCGTTTGCTGCCGCGGCCGGCCCGAGGCTTCCACATGGCAGCCCAGTTGGCGGCGTGTCCATCCATCCATCCATCCATCCATCCATCCACCCATTCCCCCCCCACCTGTCAACACCCCCTCCCACCCCCCTCACCCGTTCCCTCCGCGCCCTGCCCTTTGAGGACGCCCGAGACCGCGCTGCCGCGCTAGGGGTGCGCGGGCACAGGAGGACGAGGCACAGGGGGGGGTTCGTCCTGCGGCTTTGCGTCAGCCGCCTTCGAGTGGATCTCCTGGGGGGGGGAGGGGGAAACTCCGCAGGCATACCCTCTCCTCCTGCCTCTACTGCCGCTCCGTCTCTTCCTCCTCCAGCCCTTCTTCTTTCCCATTGACCATTCCCCTCCTCACTCGTCCCGCCCTTCATCCCTCACAGTCCCCCAACCCTCCACATTCTCGTCCACCTCATCCTCCTCATCCTCCTCATCATCACCTCCAGCATTCATTATCCGCATCCTCCTCATAATCGTGGTCGTCATCGCCATCGTCATCGTCATCGTCGTTGGCATCGTCATCCTCATGAGCATCATGATCCTCATCATCATCCTCGTCATCACCATCATCATTAGCAGCATCAACATGATCATCAGCAGCATCAACGTCAACATCAGTGTCAGCGGCAGCAGCAGCAGCAGCAACCGCGGCATCCTCATCATCATCCTCATCATCATCCTCATCATCATCATCATCAGCATCAACATCAGCATCAACATCATCATCATAATCATCACCGCGACACAACAATAACCGTCATCGATACCCCCCATAATCATCAACAACACAGGTCTGGTAGTCTGCATAAGCGGAATCATCAACCTCGACATCGACTTTAGCGTATGCGTCGCGGCCATCACCATCACCAACACGATCACCATCTCAGAAATCATAACCATGCTCGTCATGATCATCATCATCAGCAACAACATCAGCATTTCCATAATCGTCGTCGTTGCCATCAACATCATCCTGATACGCGTCATGAGCACCAGCATCATCGACGTCATCATCATCACCAGCAGTATCATCATTATCCACATGTGCATGATCACCATCGTCATCAGTAGCATCATTCCCATAACCAGTATCATCATCATCATCATCATCATCATCATCATCATCATCATCATCATCGTCATCGTCACCATCATCATCATCATCAGCAGCAGCAGTATCATTGTCATCGTCACCATCACCATCATCATCATCATCATCATCATCAGCAGCAGCATCATTGTCATCATCATCATCATCATCATCATCACCATCATCATCTGCACCCTCGTCCTCATCGTCAGCGTCAGCGTCATCATCATCAGCATCATCAACATCATCATCACAAACCGCCTCATCATCACTATCGTCATCAGCACCATGATCATCACGATCACCATCGTCAGCACCAGCATGATCATCCTCATCCTCCGCATCTTCCTCCCGCTCATCATCATGCTTGCCTTCCTCACTAATTACTTCCCCTCCTCAGCCCTCCCTCTCCCCAATCCTTCCCCTCCCATCCCCCGTCCATCCTCCCCCCATCCTCTCATTCCCTTCGTCCACTGCGCCCCTGTGTTCTAATGTGTCCTAGTGGCGGCAACCCTCACGTTAGCTAGTCGCGTCCTACGTCACTCTCCCAATGCACTGCCTTAATGCATGAACGCGCACCCGGGCCGAATCCTGGCTTGAACAAGACATAGTGGGAGCGACCCGTATCCGTGCGTCTGAAGCCCCCTCCCCGCTCCTGATCGAGCAAGCATCTGACGGTCCAGACGATTCGCAAACTCTTGCTTCTGCCGCGACAGAACGATTCGCCCGCGGGTGTAAGCGCCACGGGCATTTATCTCCTCCTCTTGCCCCGTCCCATCCCTCGTTCTCCTCCTCCATCATCGCAACTTCTCCTCCCAGTCTTCCACGGCGGTCTGTAGTCCTGGATGCGAAGCGCACCTGGACTCGAAACCAACAGAGAATCAATGATGTTTGCTTTCGCGCCGTCTCGCTTCCGATGTGTTTCTGAGGCCTCGGGATGGCCCCCAGATGGCCCCAGAAGGAGCCCGAGAGACCCCTGAGATCTTTAAGATGACGCCAAGAGCGTCCAAGGGCGCCCCAAGCGCGCCCCAATATGGCCTCCAGAGGGATAGAGCTCCTCCAAAACTCCCGAGAGGCCCCCAAGGGGGGTCCAAGAGGGCCCATGACCTACCTAAATACCCCCAAGAGGACCCCAAGACCTTCCAACGCAGCACCAAGAGGGCCGCGAGAGAGCCACAAGAGGACCCTACGAGGGCCTCCAGACGACCCCAAGCCAGAGTCATCGTCGTCCTCCTTCTCCTCCTCTTCTTCATCATCCTCCTCCCCCGCCTCCTCTCAGCATGGATGCCCAAGGCTTGTGGCGAGCCGAGGCCGAACAGTTGTTGGAGGCACCCCGCAGTATGATATACCAGCAGGCTGTAGTTTCGCCACTTACGTCGTCCAGATGTTTATCAGTGTCCCACTCGATGTCCGCGTCCAGGACAATCCCAATATAGACCTCCACATGTTCATGAATGACTTCCTCCTCCAGGCCCGAAAGGAACCAACGGACCCAGTTCAGACCCTGTCCTACGCCGCGTCCTGCATGAAAGGCACGATCGACATCGACCCGGGGTGCCACATAGCTTAGCGTAAATCCGTCGTCCTGGCCTCGTCAACCGTTGTTCGACATCCCCTCGTAGAAGCCCTGCAAATCCTAGTTGGACCTCAGACCGAGCGAAGGACGGACGCCGCAGCCAACCTAGGAACTGATCCCACGGCATGAGGCCGAGGACGTTCCCGACAAGGGGGCGCAGTTCTTCGCCAGCGGTTCGCCAAGCCTCGCATCAGGAGAAGCCGCCTGCAAACGCCCAGACGGGCGGGCGCCGACCTGCGCAAGCTGTACCGACCAGGCCCGGACCAAGCCAACCATGACGGAACCGAAATGGTAGGACTAACCCGCACCTGGCTGATACAAAGAGAAACCATATATCTCGGTACCGTGGGCCCCCGAAGCCACACCAGACCCCGAATGCTCAGCGTATGTCTCCTTGGGGACCCCCTCATGGAAGGCTGCCCTGGGACCTGTCATATAATTATTATGGCCAATCGGTTTGGCGCCGTTTCCACTTGGCTCGGATTTCTTGGGACAACGCGCGCCGAATTTCAAGCGAATGTTGACAACACCCTGATCACCCCCTCCCCCCAACCGAAATGGGAATCGAGCCCAGGATCCAGACCGCTACGAGCCACCACACTGAGCCTTACGCCGATACCTGGGACCCTCAGGAGCGCTTTTGAGCTCGTGGCCTCGGAGGGCCCGGTCCTGCAGCTCACAGTCGCACCGCCAAGCCTGCTGAGCTGTCACCTCCCAGGGAGCCTGGGCGGCGAGCCTCCAGACGCGCGCTGCTGCAAAGAGGGGCCAGGCCAGTGCAAGGTGATACGTCTTTGCTGCTGGGCAAATCCTTGCGGGCTGCCCCAGTCTGCCACATCTGAAGGGGCCCTGGGACACACAAATAGATACACACAAATAAAAGATTCCCCATATTTTCTGGGCTTTTGTCTTCCCCCCCCCTTCCCATATTTTCCCATACTTTCTGGGGAATCGCCGATTAATTGTGTCTGTGTGTTTCTTTCCCTCCTGACCATCACCCCCTGCCCCTGCCCTTGGGAGGGGGGGGGAGCGGGCGGGCGGGCGGGAGGGCGGGAGGACTGAGCTCCACGGCCAGGTTCCGGAAGAGGGTCGCGTGCTTCTGCTTGGCCGTCGCGAAGGACCACACCACCTGGGCCCCACGCTGTGCTCTTGCTTGCGTGAGCCGCCTCGCTGACGGTCGGGCCCGAGACAGAATAACATCCTTCAAGAACATGAGACCCCCTGCTTGCCAAGCTAAAGAACATTCGAGGGTACCCTCCCCTAGGATGCACAAACACACTCAGCACGCACGAAGAAACACGAGGGTACGCTCCCCGAGCCGACCTCGATCTTCAACCTCGGCCCGACCGTAAGTCCCTGAACCACCTGTTCCCACACAAGACGAAGCCAGGACGAAGATGCACTCAGGCGAGGGTACACCGAGAATCTGAGATCCGGCGGCTCCGGAGATGGTCTCGGGCGCCAGCGACTTCTCAGAGCGTTGCAGAAAGCTCCGAGGGCGCTCCAGAACGCTCCAGAACGGCTTTATCATCGTCCGAGCCCCGTCCGGAAGCCTCCCCCCACACTTTGGTCGGAGGCCAGTTGGGTTCCGCAAGCGGTCGAACAAACGGCGGGACGCGTCCGTAGCGTCCTGGGGCGCAGCGAGACGCACCTCCACACGCATCCGCTCCCAAGAGGCCTGAGTGAGCCTCTTTCCCAGGACCTCGGACGGGTGGTCATAGGGGGTGACCTGAACGGGGGGGGAGAGAAGGGCAGCAAGGGGCCCTTCAGGGCTCCATTTTGGAGCCAGCAAGGGCCGAAAAAGGACCCCTTGTTCCACCCTTCAATGGGATCACACGCCATGACAATCCGCCCGAGCTTCATCCTGGGCTGTTCTGTTCAAGGTCCCTGGGATGCCGAGAACAAGGCTCGACCAAAACGCTGGTGTCTGTGTTCGTTCTGTTCTCGTTTCTCTTCGATTTGTCTTCGTCCCGCCTCTGCTGCAAAACGAAATATCGACACGAACATGGCCCTCGCAATCGCAAGAGCACCGTTTGGGTCGAGCCCTGGCCGAGAGTGCTGGCGGCGCGCACGGGGGGGTACGGGGGAGGGGGGAAGGCTTCTGAGAAGGAGGCTGCTTCTCAGAAGGCGTCGGCCCCACATCTATAGACCAGGCCCGCGCCTTCTGAGAAGCAGGGGTGCTTCTACGAAGCCCTTCTCCCCTTCCCCTACCCCCCTCGGCGCGTGGCCGAGCAGCTGAACGCAGCACCCCCTTCTCTGAAGAAGGCTGCACTGCACATCCCCATTGAGTCCTCGCCGATCCTCGCGACCCAAGCCTGGGTCTCGGGGCTCGCCTTCAGCTGGCCGCCTGGAATCTGCTACTGGGTATCGTCGCGTGCGCCGCGCCCGCGCGCGGTCAAGACGCGACCGGTGTGCCCCATGCCCGCAGGAGGCCTCAGTCCTCCCCCCCCCGAGCAGGAGTCACCGGTCGGGATTTTGCACGACGGGGGGGAGAGGGGCGCGGGGGCCACGTCGGCGGCGGGAGCCGCGCGCGCAAGACTGGGGGGGGGAGGGGCTGCGGGAGCGGCGGGGGGGGGGGTCCGGGATGGGATGCGGAGGAGGGCCTCGGAAGAGAGACAGGGAGAGACAGAGAGAGAGAGAGAGAGAGAACGGAGGGGAGGGGAGGGAAGCAGGGCTCGACCAAAACAGTGTTTTCCGTTGTCGATTCTCTTTGGGAGCGAATTGATGGGGGGCCGATCAATAGGGGGGGGAGGTGCAGTGATTATTAATTTGGAGTCGGCTGGAGTTCCGCCTGTAAAATGCTTCTTGCGTCGCCAGCGCGATGATAGCTCTACGAGTATGCAGATGTCTGGTTTGCCCAAACCGCGACTAGATTTTTCACGGTCAGAGCAGTCGCATTTCGCAGATTAAGCAAACGAGCAAGAATTAGCCAAAGCGGATGCTGAATTGCACAGAGAAGTGCAAGACTTACACGCAAAGAGAAAGCGTGTTAGAGTGTCGAAATTGAGGTTTCGAGGCCGATGACAGAATTTCCGTCGTTCAGGGCTCGATTTCCGGAGGTGCCTCAGGCCTCGAATTGTCGTGAGAGGGCACGACACGGCCCACGAAATCGCCAAAAAACTGTTTAGGTCAACCCCTGAGGGGAGGGAGAGCTATTGTTTGACATCCACAGCTGAGGAGCCCCTTGGAGGGGCGAAGTGTGGCCAGCCCGGCCTCTGCACCGACTGCCGCCGCTCCAACGAGCCACAGCTGCTGGGAAACGGGAGGGAGAGACAGAGAGAGAGAGAGAGTGAAAGCTTCAGAAAAAAAACGGGAGGTGGAAGCGGACCAGCGACACAGGCAAGAAGAAGAGGAGGATAAGGAGGGGCGGTCGCAGCGGAACAGCTACATCAGGAGAGAGAGAGAGAGAGAGAAAAAAAAAGAGAGAGAGAGAGAGAGAGAGCGATGATAACCAAGGAGGATGTGACATGAAGCAACATATACTAGAATGATACATACCTGTAAAGCACATGGGAAGTAGCGGGAGAAGGCTAAAGCGGAGAAGCATGAGGAAAAGGACGGAAGGAACGAAGAACGGAGGCGAGGGGTATGGCAAAAGTAACACGCAGGGGATACGCTGATGAGGAGGTAGAACATGCGAAGAAATAACGGAGAGGGGGAAACGAGGCGAGGGATGGGGGCGGGAGAGAGGAGGATGTTGGCCAAGACTGGGCCCTGGATTCTTCGATTAAGAGAGACACATCGCAAAAGGACATGGAACAAACAAAAGGCCCGCAGGGGCAGCGGAAACGGCAAGCATCGACAAGGGCGTGCTGGCGACCCCCGATGAGGTCGATGGCTAAGCCTACGCACAGTCGACCAACGTATCCACGGACCAACCACATCCTGCACTCGGCCACATGTCAACATCGAAAAAGGATCTGTGGATTTGGCGCGTGGGCGAAAGGTCAACGGATCGGGAAAAGTACCCCCCGAGACATGCAACCAATGCAAACTGACTTTGCGACAACGGTCGTCGAGTTCGCATCGGAACGGGACCCGTCGCGAATCCGCGCGCCTTAACCGACGTTTGCGCTGCCTCGACGCATCCTCCCGACATACCCCTCCTCCGTCGCCAAACTCTCTGCAGAAACCTCCTCCGACACCACCTCCGCCTCCGCCTCCGCCTCCGCCTCCAGCTCTGTCTCCGACTCCGCCATCCACCTCATCGGCCCTCATTGCCTACCTCCACCGGCGCTTCCTCTGCATTCCTTGTCCTGATCCCCGTGCTCGTCCTCCTCCTGCTCATCATCATCATCATCATCATCATCATCAGCATCATCATCATCATCATCATCATCATCATCATCATCATCATCATCATCATCATCATCATCAACATCAGCATCATCATCATCATCATCGTCATCATCATCATCATCATCATCATCATCATCATCATCATCATCATCATCATCATCATCATTTTCATCATCATCATTTTCATCATCATCATTTTCATCATCATCATCATCATCATCATCAGCATCAGCATCATCATCATCATCATCCATCGTCCTCCCTGCTTATCCCCTCCCACCCCCTTTGTCTCCGCCACCCCCTCCCCCTATAAGCCCTTTGTCCGCCCCCCTTCCCCATCCCCCCCCTCCTCGCCGCCAGGCCTTTCCCCATCACCCCGCTTCCCGCCTTCCCACCCTTGTCCTGCTCCTCGTCCTGCTGCTGCCAGATATTTTTCTCGCCCCCTCCCCGCCGTCCTAACCACTCCTGACCCACCTCGCCGGCGCCGCCCTCGTTTCCGCAGGCTGCTTCCCCTACTCCCCGCCGCGCCGTCGACGCCGCGGCCGCCGCCGTCTCGCCGTCGTTTCTGCGCCGATGCGGGCACGCGGCCACGAGGTTTTTTTTTTTTTTTTTTTTTTTTTTTTTTTTTTTTTTTTTCAGAAGCCCCCGCAGCCCCGGGCAAGAGGAGCCGCACACGTCGCAGGGACGTGGGGACCCCCCGATTCCCTGTCCTCGGACTCCCAGTCCTCCCTGCCCCGACCTCAAGGGGAAACGACAAGCGGGGACCAGCACCTGCTGGGGGGGCACTGTTTCCCTTGGGGGCGCGGGCGACCCGAGGAGGAGGAGGAGGAGGAGGAGGAGGAGGAAAAGGAGGTGGAGGAGGGAGAGGGGGAGGAGGAAACGGAGGAGGAGGAGGAGAAGGAGGATGAGGAGGAAGAGGAGGAAGAGGAGGATGATGGAGGAGGAGGAGGAAGAGGAGGAGGTGAAGGAGGACGAGGGGGAGGAGGAAACGGAGGAGGAGGAGGAGAAGGAGGATGAGGAGGAAGAGGAGAATGATGGAGGAGGGAGGAGGAGGAGGAGGAGGAGGAGAGGGTTTGGCCTGAGCACAAGGGAATTCCTCGGTCTGACCCCGTCATGCACGTGGCCAAGTGCCGCGACAGCTGCCGCGCGCGCCATAGCTGCGATCTCCTCTGATGGCCACGGCGAAACCTGCGGAGGCGGCGTGAACGCTCGAGGGCCAGGACCCTCTTTCGCGTACATCAAGCCTACGAGCGGCTGCAAGCCCATAATTCAGCACAACGACAGCCGCCAGGCGACATATCTGGCCCACGTGCCGCCACCTTATCTAGATCATATGGCCAACTGGATTCCCCAATGGGATTGCCAGAGGTGCGGGCGATTCGTTCGTCATTATGGCAGGTGCTTTGGTGTACAATTCTTCTCGGACCAGCGGCAACAGCGACATGGCAGGGATCATCGGCAAAGCCATGGCCAGCACCGCCCCAGCAGCCGTCAATGGCGCGGCAGAGCAAGACAACATCACCTGCCAGTCTTCAGCGACAGGGAAGTCCGCATCTATTTGGCCAAGATGCCGCCCATGACCAAGGAGGAAGCAACTGGAGAGCCGAATTGCCGTTTGACACCAGATGGCGATACTCATTCCTTCAAGCTGGAAGCCATAAAGCAGATCTACGACCTGGCAGACCTTGCTCTCACAGCAAGGCGTGCCACAGAATGTCATAGCGGACCCGCGCGACAAAAATATTGCGGTGCTCGAGTGTATGATCCATGGCCTTCTCCCAGGCAGCAGCTAGGCGATCTCGTCTAGACAAAGCGCGCGAGGAAGCTCCG